GTGAATAAAAAATGTGGAGGCAAACCTTTGGATTAGAGTCTCAGCCGCGGAAACACTCTCTAATGCCATTGTTTTGTCCCGATCGATTGTGTTTTGTACCGTATGATATAGCACTGTGGCCCGATGATGATCATTCGATCGATTGACGCGACCACACTCGATGGCTCTTTACTTGCAAAATAATCGCGTGCCTGAATTCTAGCATTTGAAATTTTGAAAATACTCGTTATAGGGCACTAATTAGCCTACAGAATGTATTTCATGTGTCTCTCCGTTTCTCTTTCTCTCTTGCGCGCGTGCGCGCACCAATAACCGAATGTACCAGTTTTTATTAAGGTTTTCTGTCTTTTTTATCAACCTTCGTTACGCCTCTGTTCTTTTTTCTCGAATATTCTTCTTGTCTGAACACAAGAGGCTATCTCGTAACTAATGTTTCTTTTATTTTCTGCTTTATCCGGGATATTATTGCACTTTAGATTCGGTGAAGTATGGATTTCACTGTGTCTCTCCTCTCCTTGGCTATTAAATTTCGTTAAATGGCGCGATCTCACCACTGCAACGTCATTCTTGCTTGACGTGGCATATGGCTGACCAACGATAAGCTCATAGGTGTGTTAAATTTCCTTTTCCGTACAGTCGTGATACATCGAATAAAATACGAAAATAAGAACAGTGCTCAAAAGCAAATACGCGTGTGTATTTTTGTAATTTGTAACCGAATAAAAAGGAAGAAGCGTTTTTCCAAGAATATAACCCGAAGCTTCGTAGAATATATAAAGGCTTCCACTTTGACGATTTCCGACCCGTAATCTGATAACAGCAATCTTTTTTGATTGAAAATTTTTGGGAGAGAGAGAGAAAGGGAGCGACGAATTGATCTCGCCTTGTCGTTAAAAACAACTGCGAGTTAATCAGACGCGCGTCTGTTATTGACGATAGAATTTTATCAAAAAAAAATTAAATGCACGGTCTTGACGCGATTCGTGTCTTTCCTGAATGGATGACAGCGTTTACGTCTTTCGTGTACTTCCGCGTTAGATATTTATCTCAGCAAAAGAAGAACATATGTATTATGAACGAGACTAGCAGGCAGGCGAAAAGTACGATGGTCGGACAGAGCGTATTACTATGTCAGCAGATTGTATAAAAATGTATCAGTTATGAGACGATGAGCGAAAACTTCAAAGATCAAACTAAACATGGCCACATCTGGAACTATTCTGAGCGGGCAGCTGCACGAAACCTCGGAAGAAGGGCGAGCGAACGGTACCGAGCTGGGAGGGAAAGCAGCTCTGATTCCTTTTCACCAATCAGAAACCGTATTCAATGATCACGTGCTCTCTCTTCCATTATTTGCATTCCCCCACTCTAATTTCCTCTCGCTTCCCCACTTTTCTTTATTGCTTCTGTTTATGTGGAGCAAATTCCTGAAGCCTTCGTTGACCCTTGGTTTTCTACGCACAACTCTACTGAAAGCAAGCTTATGGATATATTATCCGCATTAAAAACATTGCGTCTCAACCTCCATATTTGCATTAGTGCAAAGTTTGCAAGCATCTTAATAATTTTCGTATTTCAGAACAAAAAAAGTAAAAATATAATTATGAAGATTATTTTTTTTTATCTTTTAGTAAAACTTCAATTAATATATGTATATTTACGAATTTATCATCATGTTTGATGAATCATAACATTAATTATAATTTAAAGGACTCTTACTTTGAGCCATTAAATAAGCTATCAACAAGAAAAAAAGAGAAAAATATTAGGTTCCTAATATGAATGTAATAGTGTCATTCATACTATTAACTTGACAACTAAAATGTTAAAAAATATTAAATTACAAAATATCATATAAAAATCTTTAATAACTTAAAATTTTCATGAATAAAAATTCATTTAACACATTTATCATTTTATGCAAATTTTATACAATTAAATTATTTTCCTTCAGTTCTATGTAATATTCATAATGATATAATTATTTATTTATACATAATAATTTCAATGTAAATATTAATGTAATTTCTATTATTAAACAAATATACATTTTTTGTTATGGATTTGTTCATAAAAGCTTGATATTCTAAAGATATAACATTTTGCGCACAAAAATATATAGCAATGTAAAAAAAATATTGTTTTCTTTATTATACTATATGTAAATACTCGTAAAATTTATAATCTTATTTAACTTGTTCATGCGAACGATGATAGAAAACAAATGAAATTCCACTCGACCAGCATTGTCGTAATGGTACATCTGGCAAATTTCGTGGATTGTGAACATGTTTCCAATCTGATAAATCCGAATTACAGTCTGATTGTTCAGGTGGTCCTTTTACTTCTATGCCATTAATACATCTTTTGCATTTAAACCTGAAATTGAAAGAAATGCATTTTATTAACAATTAGTCGTATAAATATTCACAGTTCAAAATAATTTTAAGCTTACTTATCATGAGTATCTGATATGGTATTTTCTTCTAATTTAAATAAATCTCGTAAATCATTTAATGTAAAATGTCTTGCAACGTCTTCTTCCTGATCAACAACTGTTGAACTTAATGCTTTTTTATGTGCCTGTCTTTGAAAAATCTTTTCTTCAATAGTACCAGTCTGTAATATATTTATATAATAATATAAAATACATCAAATTACAAGGAATAATTATATATTTTCTTTTTACGCACACAAAGAAAACGATATATGAAACACAGTTTTTTCTGACCATCTCTCCAAACTCTAGCCATAGCTTGATCATCATTTGCAGGATTCCAGTCAGGATCAAACATGACGAGGCGATTTGCACCAATAAGATTTAACCCACAACCTCCAGCTTTAGAACTAAGCATGAAAATAAAATCATTACTGTTTGGGTCATTAAATCTTTCTACTACTTTTGATCGTTTTTTGATGGTCATACTGCCGTCCAATCTAACATAATTATAACAACGTTTATGACATAATTTTTCAAATAGATCAAGAGTTTGTGTGTAATTAGATACCAGCACTATCTTATCATTTGTCGTTGTTTTAATAGATGCCAAAAGACAATCTAATACCATTAGTTTTCCCGAAAGTTCTGGTAAAATTTCTCTAGAACCAAAATCATAAAAATAAAAATTACCATTTCTTTATATAATAATGATAAATTTAAAAAATGACGTACTTTGTATTATAATTTGATGGCATTAATTTTGCAGCATTTTCAAATCCTTCAGATTTTTCCAATATTTTTTCATATACTAAATCAGGATGATTACATAGTTTTTTTAAAAGTGTAATTGCTGAAAGTGTAGAAAGGCTTTTACCTTTTTTACAATTTTCAGAATTTTCTGTAACAAAAAATGTTATATATTGCTCAAATTAAAAAATTTTAAATATAATAAGAAATTTGTAACAAACCTTCCATTGATTTTTTAATACTATCACTTTGTATAAAATTATTATATAGATCTGTCTGCACTTTTCCCATTTTTATACATACTACTAATTCATATTTTAAAGGTAAATACTTTGAAAGTAAGGCACTAGTACGTCTAATAAGACACTTATTTACAATAGTTACTAATTCTGTTAAACGTTCTTGAGCAAGTTTACGTTCGGTATCTGTTGCTACTGCATCTTGACCACGTAAAATTGGTATCTCAAATTTTTTTCTAAATTCCTAAAAAATGAAATTTTAATATTATGTTAATAATAATAGTTACTAAAATATTTCAGAGGATATTAATTTATGTACCTGTGCAGTTCCTAATAACCCTTGATTAACAAAATGCACAAGAGAAAAGTATTCTAAAAGATCATTTTGTATAGGTGTTCCACTAAGTAATACTCTCCTTTCAGCTTTTAAATTTATAAGTGCTTGATATGTTTGATTTTCAGAATTTTTTAGACGATGCCCTTCATCACATAATACAAGTCCTATTTCACTTTGATAAAGAATATGTGCATGTAAACGAAAAGTTTCATAACTAATTATTAAAATTGGGTTTACACATCTACGACCATAAGTTTTCATAAACCCAGTAAGTTTTGCATCAATATCTGCTTTGTTTCCACCATCAATGGCTAGTGGTTGAACTTTATTCTTTAACCATTTAAAGATTTCATTATACCAATTTTTAACTAGTGAACTTGGAGCAACAATAATAGCTTTGTCAATAAGTGGTTTAGCTTCAGGTCCTTTGAAATATAATTAGCTATTAATATTGTACATTATACATGAAATAATATTTACTTACCTTGTTTTAGTAGAGTCCATAACAGAGTTATACATTGTAAAGTTTTTCCAAGACCCATTTCATCTGCCATAATACATCCATAAGCACCTTTAATACGTACTCCTGTTACACATTCATACATAAATTTTACACCTTCTCGCTGATGAGGTCTTAAAACATTACATAATAGAGGATCTACTACTACATGTACAAGTTGTTTAGATCTAAGATTATATGAGAAGATTATTATAAAATATGTTTAACAAATTCAACAGTTAGGAAATAAATACAATACTTTATACTTACGGATCTATTTTTAATTTTTCATGTTCAGATAAATCAGAGGGGGAATAAACAATAAGTGCATTAGCCTCATCAGGATCATGTAATGGTCGACGAGGACCAGATAAACGTATCCCTAATGCACGTCCTGATAATTGATAACCAGGGATTGGTATCTTAAATGGCTTACTAAGAAGTTTCTTCACCCTTTCTTCCTATAAACTCAATTTTGATTTTTTAAATATTTTGTCATCACTATCATGAAATTACTGTTTAATGTATTATATTTACATGTTCAGAAATTATTTCTTGAGTAGCTTGCACATCATCAGCTGAAAGAGTAACTGCTTTATACTCTGGTATTTGTACATTTTTGACATTATGGCAAATCTTTTTTTTTGCTTGATGAACTGGTGATATAATTGGCGATAGTGTTACATTATTGGATATATCACAAAGCAATGGGCGCTTGCCTCTTTTACTGGGTGCCAAAGATCGAATCTTATGTAAAATAAACGTAAAATTAAAATAAAATGAAATGTGCCAATGACAGTATTAGAAACACTTTTTTTATAAATTAAAATAAAAAGTATATCAAGGTTATGTTACAAAAACAATTATTATAATTTTGTAACTGTGCAGACATTATTTCTCAATAGAAATTAAACTAATTTTGATAATTAAAGTCTTTAACCAATTTTTTAAAATACTACCATTTTGTATTAAGGTATTTCATTTTTGAGTTTCAAGATACTTCATTTTGCAATAGCAAAGTAAAGATACTACTATCTATATTTCATTTATTTAACTTTTAACTTTGTTCAAGAAATAAGTAGTAACAAATTTTAGAAGTTTCGCGGTTACAAAGATGATAAAATTTATTGTACTTAGATGCGAGCGCACCTAGCGTTCATATTTGAAAATTAATACTACTTTACACATTTAAATTTCAATTATTAAATGTTTCAGAAAAAAATCTTTAAATTAATATTTATATTAACAAATATGCATATACATAAATATGAATGAATGTTTTTAATGTCAAATTTTTAATGAAAACATTGCTACATAGTTATATCATTAATTTATTTATGAGTAAAAAATATACACATATAAAGCATTTATAAATATTATAACAATATACTTGCAAAAATATTTATCACTCTTTATCTTTAAAAATAAATAAATAAAATTATAATTCTGCAAATATATTTCCCAAGAAATTTGTATTTAAATCATCATCATCCTTATCAATATATTTATTATACTTCATATCTGGAATGTTAAAGGTACATTTAGTAAGTTCAAATAATTCAGAATTGATATTGGGTTTTATACCATAAGTATCTTCCAAAAATTGTAAAACAGCTGTTTTATTTTGTAAATTATTAAAAAACATTCTATTTCTTTTGGGAAGTATTTTTTCTAACATAAATACAAGGTGATGATGGAAACATATAAATTGGGTTGGTATAGTTGATGTGATATCAAGCCAATCTTGTACACAATGGAGAGGTGTAACTGAATATCCAGAAAAAAGGGCTGGATTAGTTAGAATTCCTCTTGCAGACATCACTGCATCACAATTACTTTCCTTATACAGATTTTCTGCACTTTCTAAACTTTTTACATCCCCATTAGCAATAAGAGGTAATTTTACACTGTCTCTTACTAATTTTAAATTATCTAGATCAATTGGTTCGCATCTCATTTCAGGTGTCCTAGCATGCACAGTAAGAAACGAAACACCTGCTTTCTCAAGAATTCTACAGAAATCAATAGTTTTATGAATATCCTTCAATAATCGTATTTTCACAGATACAGTGAAAGGATTTGGAATACGATTTCTCACTTGATATATTAAATCTTTTACAAAGTCTGGTTTTTCAAGTAAATCAGCTCCATATCCTTCTTTTAATGCCCAACGCTGAGGGCAACCACAATTTAGATCTACTCCATTACAATATCTGTAAAGACAAGTAACAAATATGAAAACCTATGTTAATTATTAAAAGTTAAATTTAATATTACAAAGGAAAACTTACGGTGCAACTAATTCTGCTGCATTAAGAAAATCATATACATTTTTAGCAGCAAACTGAACAACCAATGGTTTATCCCTATTGTTAGTTGAAAATTCATTGTCTCTAGCTTTTTCAGATTGTATAAATGAATCAGCTAAGATCATAGGTGTAAAACATATATCACAATCATATCGTCTTACTAAAGTTCTAAATTGTAATCTATTCAAAGGTATTTTAAAGTAGTATATTATATATTTAATATATATTATAAATATAATAACTTTTTTTACTTACTTGCTGTATCTAACCATTGGTGCACATACTTTTGTCATCCTTGGTTCTTTTAACATTTCTACTATATCAATTGACATTTTGATTTATTTTTTAAATATTATGTCAAATGAATGAAGTATTATCTATTAAAACACAACAAATGTTTCACCTTATATATTATTTTAGTAATGTAAAAAATGTGGTAAAAAGATAACTGAATAATTATTTTTTATATACATCTTATTAGGTTTTTTTTTATTTACAAATAAGGTTATAGACATAATTTTTATTAAATAATATTTTACTAAAATAGCACAAATTAAGCAAAATTGTAGTGTAAATAAAATCATAAATTTATTATGTAATTAATCAATATATCAATAAATAATAGTTATTTTTAAATTTTATTTCACATATTTTAATGTTTTTTAATCTTATAGAACACAAAGTAAATTGAATTTACAGTTAGGTAAACATAATATACACCATCTGTATACTATCAAATAATTTTATTGACGTTGAATTTTATTTCAATTAATTCATGTATTTGCAATGCGTTATAATAATTCTCGTAAGTACTATTCTATTCGCTTTTTGTTCTTATTGTAAACATTCAAAATTTTATTTAAATATAACCTTATTATATCTGTTGTTTACTTACAATTAATGTCCATAAATGTTATGTGATATTCTTTAAAAGATATATAAAACACAATAAATGATTATTGTTCGGATTATTATATTTTTTACATGTACATACTGTAATATTGTGTAAAAATTAATTTTTTTATAAATAGATATTACTCTTAGCAGCTTCTTTTTAACCTATATATGATTTAATCTATGTCCCTTTCTCATAATATTTTTATTAATACAATATTTTTTTATGTACATAAAGAATGGGAAATATATTATGAAAATGTTATCATTACTGTCTTAATTATACAAGATTCAATATTCAATCTTTTTACTTTTAAAAGGTCCTACAGAAGAATGTCCTTTAACAAAAAGTAGAAGTTATAAATACATGTTAAATATGTACTGTGGAGATGGTCTAAAATTCATTATTAGTTGTTTCACTATTTTGACTATTTCTATCACAACAACATTAATTTTACAAATCTTATATGCTGATGGAAGTCCACAGGTATTTATATTAATCTAAGAAAAAATATTGTGTAATAATAATAAGTATTATATAATAAACTATAAATATTATTTTATACTAGGATAAAGCTGGTATTCATGGTGCAGTTGCAACAGATTATACAAATTGTTCACAAATTGGAACTAAAATATTGCGAAAAGGTGGTAATGCAGTAGATGCAGCTGTAGCAGCTACTATTTGTATGACAGTTGTAGCTCCACATAAAACTGGTTTGGGTGGGTAAGTTGCATATACAACTTTATTAATATTTATTGTAATTTATAATTATTATTTTAGGGGTGGTTACATAATGGTATATAATCATAAAGAACAGATAGAACCAATCATTATTGATTTTGCCAGTAATACAATAGAAGGTATCTAAATAGTATTTTTAAAGTGTATTTCATATTTTATATTATTTGTATTATATGTTAGATAGTCTTTTACAAGATGGAATACGTATACCAGCAGTATTACGGGGATTAGAATATGCACATACACTAAAAGGTAAATTACCATGGAATGAAATTGTTAAACCTTCTGTATCTTTAGCCAAAGGTGGATTTGTTGTATCAAAAGAATTAGCAAGTGAAATATCAAAAAATATTGATTATGAAATTTTATATGGGCACCTTAATGCAGGAGATATACTAAAGTTACATGATCTTAGTAACATGTTAAATGCTGTGGCATTGCAAGGAACTAATGGTGTAATATTGTTATCATATTAATTATGACTAATTTTTAATTTTATCATCAGTATCCTTTAATGTGGCTCATTTTATTTATTTTTAGTACTCTACAATGGAACTTTCTCACAAAATCTTCTACATGATAAAATTAAACTTTCAAAATTACTTTCAAAGCTAATATATTATGAACCTGATATATATATAGCAAAAAAGTTAAGCTTTTATAAACATACAATATATTATCCTCCACATATGTCGTTATTAAAGTCAATGATCACAGCTCTGGAAAATCTTAAAATATCTACTGAAAATATATCTACAATAGGAACAGAGATACAAATAGCTAAAGCATTAATAAATGCAGTTTTAACTCCAGTACAATTAAGACAATTCGGTTTGTTTTATTTTATTGTTTTCACTTCAAAATATTATAGTATTTTATAGCAATATTAATTTTTTGAAGTAATATTTTTAGTTGAAGAAGAAAAATATACTGGAGTTATTGCAATGGATTGGGAAGATACTTATGTCTGTATTATAACGTTAGTATTGCTACAATTTAATTTATTTTATTTATTAAATTTAGTAATATAAATGCATAATTCTTATAGTGGACTAAGTGCACCATTTGGTCTTGGATATATGTCAAATGCAGGTTTTCTGTTAGATAAAACTGATACCAATAATACTTTATCTATGCTTAGTCCAATAATTTTTCATAGTGAAAAAGCATTATGTGGATTACGTGGAGTGTTTGGAACTGATGATATATTGATTATTGGACAATTATTATACAATATTATAGTGCGTCAATTAAATGTTTCTGAAGCTATTGAATATCCAAGGTAAAAAACATATTTTAGCTGTTATTTTATAATATATTATTATAGTAATTATTATATATTGTATAAATTATTCATATAGTCATTTTTTATATAATTTTTTTTATAGATATTACTTTTCTTCAGATGGACTTGCTGTAGAAAATGACCAAAAACATTCTGTAAATATGTTAATACGAAATCAATTAAATTTAATGATGTCAACACATTTGGACACAGATTTAGTATTAAAAAGTGTGAATGCAATCATAAAAAGAAAAGATCTAATGTCAAGTCATTCAGATAGTCGTGGTGGTGGTCTTGCATCAAGATTTTAATAATTTATTTATTTTTATTTTTTCTATTAAATATATTTATATAATTTTACATTAATTTAAATAATAACATTTATGTTTGTACTGTTTTATAAAAACATTTTTAAATTTTAACTATTTTTATACAAAATTTATACAATAAAATTTAATCTGCCATTTTTAATTAAAACTAAATTTATTTTTAGTATAAAAAGACAAATTATAACTAATTATAATTAATACAATGATAGTATACTTGAATTCTATTTGTATTTTGTCACATTTACAACTGTTGCTTTTGTTATTTGTATCCTTTACTTAATTCAAGTTGTCTTAATCTAGCATATATTGCACTAGCACCAAGCACAATAAAATTACTTATCCACCACATAAATAATTTCTTTTCATTAAACCAATAAGTTGCTAAAACTGTTTGTGTACAAGCTTTAGCAGTTCCACTAATATTATGTGTTAAAGGAGATGTTACTTTTATTTGCAGTGCTGAAACATAACCAATAGCAAACCCACAGACTCCTCCAATAGTTATAGCCAACCAAAAAGATAAAGATCCAATTTTATCATAATTGTATACTGTAATATGTTCTCCATTAGCTATCATTAATGGAAGAAATATAATGACACTATATGCATTGTTATAATAAGAAAGTAACCAAATATCTTGATTTAATGTGGGAAGTACTTGTTTCGTATGAATAGAATACAAAGAAAGAATTAATGATCCTAATACACCACAAATTGTTCCTAGAATGGATAAAGAACCAGCAACATGTTCTTGATTCACACCAAGCCAAAATCCCATCACAATAAATGCACAACATGCAATACAGTTTGTAGAAGTCTTTTGACCTATAAAATAGTAATAAACCACTATTTATATTAACTGACTTTTTGATTTTCTAAATGTTTTTTTATAGTTTTACCTAGTATAAGATAAGTGAAAATAACATTGAACACAGTTGTTAATGAACGTCCTATGTAATAAAATGTAACATCAACATACTTTAAACATAAGTTATTAGTTACAATCATACCAGTAAATAGAAGGGACAATGGTAATATCTGTAAATAAATAAATGCATAAAAAAATAAGAAAATTATTATATGTAATATTTGTTACCAAATCACAATTTACCTTTTTAAGAGTTTCTTTAGTATATGGATTACCATCAGGAAATTTAAAATATTTTGGAAACCACTTTGATAAATTACTAAGAATTACACAAATAATTAAGGATATTATACATTGACACCATGTTATAAAAAGAGGTGCATCCAAATTTATAGTATTACTGGATAAAAGGGCTTTATTTATAAATACTGTCAATATAGAAATTATCCTGTAAAAATATTCAATTATACATAAAAACAATTTAATAGTGAAAGATAAATAATACCATTTTTTGTTAAAAAAGTAGAATTTACTTTAACCTACCAATAAGTTGCAACCACAATTGTAATATGTATGAATTTTGACAATATTCCAGTTCCAAACATCATTATATTTTTGTTATTATTTGTATATATTAATTCAAAATTATATTTCTTTTTAATTAATCATCTTAATAATAGATTAGAATATTTTTCCAAGGAACACACATCATTGGTAAACATCAAATTTCGAAGGAATAAGGAGGGGGGTCGGTAAATCTTAAATGTAAAACATTAGTTTCGGGAATATAATAGTTTCTACAATATTAATAAAGAAGTTTTTGGCATAAGACATAGGAATATGTCCATATAGATGAGGTTAAACAATTATTTTCTCTGTAGTAATAACCACCGTTAAGTTTGAATAGTATGATGCACACACACAGCTTCACATCTGGATTAGTTCTATAAGGTGCTCGTCTAAAATTTACCCATTTATTTCTTCATGTCCACTTCACTGCATGGATGATGAAAGGATGGAATACTCTCTTCCCAAGAAGTATAACCAAATTTAATTCAATTTTGTTATTATTCAAAATTACATAATGCAGTTTAAAGAATAGATAAATAAATTTTGAATAGCACGCCCTATAGAAACTGCGGTGAGATACCAGTACGTGTTATCAACTATTCCGCGTTCGATAACAGCTACTGGTACAGAAAAAACGTTCGTTTTTAACTACCAAAAGTTTTTCGTTAATATCTGCGAAACTATTAAATTTCCGAAACTAATGTTTCACATTTAATATCTACCCCTTTTCCCCCTTAAAATTTGATCGCCGTTGTGCCTTCTTCGAAAAAACATTTATAGATTATATTGATTATATAAAAAATTCAGATTAAAGCATTGAATGCTAAGAAACTATTTTCAAATTTACTTCCATAGCAACGAATATGACGTAAATAACAAAAATGTGATATCTAAACTATTTTGAATTGAACAGTTTAGATCGATAAAATTGTATTAAATTATAGTTATGAAATAGTATGTATTTTATCGCTTTTAACTTGTTACCAGTGTTTTATTTTTGTAGGTTACAATAAGTAATATACTCTGTTACATTATAATAGTAACTTTAGTTACAATCATTGCTTTATAATAATCACATACTTTTTAGCATGTGTTAGTGTTTAACACATGTTTCTATTGTACAATGATCGTATTTACGAAACTTAATTTCTTTTTTCTTATAACATTTTTAATTTAAATAAAGATAAATACTGATCTATAATCTAAAAATATATTATTCTTATATTACATACACATTCACATTTTCCATTTTAATTACACTTATAGATTATGATTAGAGATAAAAATTATATAAGACCATATGTTATAATTCATTTATATATATAACATAAGTTATTGCATATCTCAAAGAAAAACATATAAGTACTCATAAATTAGAAAGTTTGTTATATATAATAGTTTTTTACATTGATTTTTGATTAAAAATAATTTTATATTGAAATTATGCTTTTAACGATTATTTTAATAACATTAAATTTTATTTATTTACAAACTAACACAAATCAATTTAACATTTATTTTCCTTTGATTTTTTTGATACATAGTTATATAATTTGTATTTTAACGGATAGCAAGTTTCTGCCATAAAATGGCTATATGTTATTGCTAATAACTAGTATATAAATGTTGACACGTGGTATCCAGTACTCGGGTATTTTCGACCATTGTCGTAGTGATGAACAACCAAAATTAGTACTTGCATAAATCATTTACATCTCTTGAAAACTTGTTTTGAATTATTTCTTTTTATTTACTACTTCAAAACTTGAAATATCTACTGCGTAGATGTAACAGTTTGGAAAATTGACATATAACGGGTATGTATTGAATACAATGTCTTCTATTAAAACGGTTAATTGGACTCTGTACCCGCTAAATTATTCTTTTCTTCAGTTCTTCATTTATTACAAAACTATGGCTTTGTACATTATAAATGCTTTTATTTTATAATAGTTATACATATATATATATATATATATTATATATATATATATATCGTTTTTAATGCTAATGATACATTCTATATAATTTCTAATTTTAGTTATAAATAAAAATTTCTTTAGTTTTTTTATATAAATTGAATTATTGCCGATTTTTTTTTCACAATAATTAATGTATGTATACATTTATTATAGTATATTATGAATAGATATATAATCTATTATGGCAAGAAATCATGACCATTTTTAATTTCTAGGTAATTAATTGTGTAACATTCGGTAAATTATTTGATTTTTATTTTTAAGTATCTTTTAACCTAGGTACTGTATTATCATATTATTTTATATATTTTATTTTAAATTGATATACCAAAATAAAGTTAAAATAATTTCAAAATAAATATATTGATCATCTACAAATTCATAATTTATGGCAAAAATAATTAATCATTATGTATCATTTTAATTTAATATTACATTTATAATATAATTTTTTCAATATTTGATATTTACATTAATATTAATATTTAAATTATAATATTTATTCTTTGTGTAATTTTATACATTTCAGAAATTAATTAAAATTCCATAATATGTCACAATACGAGGATGTTATTGTAGTAGACAAAAGAAGTGATGCTAATGCGATATCAGAATCAGAGATTCGACATAGAATTCCATGGAGTGAACGTGTATTATTAAATAGTGAAGTACCAGGTTTACATGAAGTTAAAGAATTGTTAGAAGATGATGATGCAAGTTGTTTAGCAGAAGAAGAAGATGGAGTTGGTTGTCCATTACCCTCAACTCCTGAAGATGATCATCTTTTGGATTGTGAGGTATATAATCATTATTAGTTATTATTAATGTGACACATAATTGACTGTATATTTTAATATATAATGTTACAGATGACAGAAGTATTGAAAGCTGGAGTATTAAGTGATGAAATCGATCTGGGTGCATTGGCACATAATGCTGCAGAGCAAGCAGAAGAATTTGTTCGTAAGGTAACTATTAAATATAAATATACCTTTAAATTAAAGATTATGCAATTTATTTTGTATTTAACTAAACATTAACTAAACATTTTCCAAAGGTTTGGGAAGCATCATGGAAACAATGTCATTTCAGAAACCTTCCAAAGTGGTTACAGGATAATGATTTTTTACATGCTGGCCACAGACCACCTTTACCATCTTTTTATGCATGTTTCAAAAGTATATTTCGAATTCATACAGAAACAGGAAATATTTGGACTCATTTACTTGGTAAAATTTATTATTTACTTTTAAATAAATTTTATTTTGCTTTTTCCAACTATTTGTCCAAGAGATTAATAAATTTTATTCTTTTCATAGGATGCATGGCATTTATTGGCATGGCTATATTCTTCATAACACAACCTCCTATAGAAATACAATTGGAAGAAAAATTGGTATTTGGTACCTTTTTTGCTGGTGCTATTATATGTCTAGGAATGTCGTTTGCCTTTCATACTGTACACTGCCACAGTGAATGTGTTGGAAAGTTGTTTTCAAAATTAGATTATTGTGGAATAGCTATGCTAATTATGGGTAGTTTTGTACCATGGCTTTATTATGGTTTTTACTGTGATTATCAACCTAAACTTATTTACTTGTCATTGGTTGTAATACTTGGTGTAACAAGTATTGTTCTTTCATTATGGGAACGGTTTGGTGAACCAAATTACAGACCATTAAGAGCAGGCGTTTTTATGGGATTTGGTCTTAGTGGAGTGAGTCACATATATCATAATATATATATATATATTTAT